AGCAATTCTCCTACCTTGGCCTCCCCAAGTGCTGGGATTACAGGCATGAGCCACTGCACCTGGTGAGCAATTGCATTTTCATAATGTCATGGTTAATAAAGAACATGATGGCCAGGTGCGGTGGCTCATGCCTGTAATCCCAGCACTTTGGGAGGCTGAATTGGGCAGATCACAAGGTCAGGAGTTTGAGAACAGCCTGGCCAAAATGGTGAAACCCCATCTCTACTAAAAATACAAAAATTAGCTGGGCATGGTGGTGGGTACCTATAATTCCAGCTACTAGGGAGGCTGAGGCAGAAGAATTGCTTGAACCCAGGGGGCAGAAGATGCATTGAGCAGAGATTGTGCCATTGCACTCCAGCCTGGGCAACAGAGCAAGACTCTGTCTCAGTAAAATAAAATAAAATAAAATAAAATAAAATAAAATAAAATAAATAAAATAAAGTAACATGAGATGTGGAGTCAAACAGATGTAGGTTTGAATTTTAGCTTTACCACTTACTTACTGTTTGGCCATGTAACCAAAGGAATATTAAACTTTCTGAACCTCCCTTTTCATATCCTCATCTGGGGATAAGACCATTTTTCTTGCACAGTTGTAGGGAGAATGAGATGGTAACGTATGCCTGTAACCCACTGTTTATGGTGGGAGGCCAAAAATGGCAGCTTGCTTTCTTCTTACCTTGATAGATTTCTTTAATCCTGGCATAATCTGTCTTCACATTCTTTTAGTTTCTAAAACTGGCCAAGCTTATCCTGGCTTTACAGCCTTGGCAAATGTTATATGTCATTCTCTTAAACCCTAGAGAGCTTCTATTCTTTTTGCTTAATTGTATCTTCTCTTACCAATCCGCAAGTCTAAGTTTAAACATCACTTTTCCGAAGGGGCCCATTGTGTCCCTCCAGTGTCAGCTATAGCTCCCACCCCTCTCACCACACTTGGCTTTCAAAGGATTGCCATGTTAGCTTACTGCGAGAGGTTACTTCTTTTTCTCCCCTATTGGCCTGTAAGCTTCAGGAAAGCAGGGCCCATTGTGTCCCCACTGACTAGTACAGTGACTGACTGCCACATAGTTGGTATCCTAATATTTCTTGGACACATGGTTTTTCTTTTTTTTTTCTTTTGAGACAGTCTCGCTCTGTCACCCGGGTTGGAGTACAGTGGCATAATCTTGGCTCACTGCAAACTCTGCCTCCTGGGTTCAAGTGATTCTCCTGCCTCAGCCTCCCGAGTAGCTGGGATTACAGGTGCATGCCATTGTGCCCGCCTAATTTTTGTATTTTTAGTAGAGATGGGGTTTCACCATGTTGGCCAGGCTGGTCTTGAACTCCTGACCTCAAGTGATCCACCCACCTTGGCCTCCCAAACTGCTGCAATTACAGACATGAGCCACCACACCTAGGTACAGTATATTTAATGATCCTGGTTCCCTCCAAATCATTAGGAGAAGTGAAAACATATTTCCAGATGCCCCACAGGGAGTGGTACAGTTCCAGTTGAAAAATCATGGATCTTTTAAACCTTGGGTACTTCACATGAATGTTATAACCATTCAAGAAGAGAAAATTACATGAAACTCGGAAGCTAGGTGAACTCCCATCCCCCTCCTAGTCCCAGCACACTATTCTTGCCAAGGCTTCTGATATTCAAAAGCAAAAGGAAATAGAATGTGTTTGTGCCTGTTTTAATGTTAAGAAGAGCAATCAGTTAAGTATTGCCAAAATGGATCTTTCGCATACTTCCTATTTTCTTTTGCAGAGGTGACAGAGTCTCCCTGAATCATCAAAGGCAGAAAAGGATGAAAGTGGTGTAAAGACACTCTGATGATGGGCTCAGATTCCAATCTGAGATTAATCTCAGATGCACTCCTTCCAAAGAGAATCCAGGTGAAGCCCACAGGTCCATACATCTGATAGGGCTGAATTTTGAAAGGGCTTCTCAAGGGCATTGGAGAAGAGCATTTCATAATTCACATTATCACACTGCCCCTGAACAATTCAAAATGGGGAAGGATCAATAGATACAGTGCCACTGATCAATAGTTAGTTTATTATGGTTATCTGTGATTTTAACAAGTATATTCACTAGTATAAGACATTTTATTGACTACAAAACAATTTAAGAAATGTACTTGATCCACTAGAAATAAATACTGTACTTGATCCACTAGCAATCAATAATTCAGCCCAGTGGACAACACCTGAGACTGGGTAGTTTCCTAGGTAAGGGTTATTTTGACCTGTGCTTGGATTGAGGCCTGACTTAGCCCTTCTACCACTAGTAAATGAAAGAAAATTACCACTGTTATCTTTAAGAAGTAACAATGAGCAAGAAGAACTGGGCTTAGCATGTATTCATTCGATTTTCATTAATCCATTAAAAAAGTTATGTTGGCTATTTTCACTCTTCCTATGGAGAAGTTCCTGGATAGCATTCATGGAATGAGGAATTCATAGTTTAGTATTTGGAGTTTGCCAACTCAGGATTTACTTCCTGTTTTCTCCTAATAGTGGTAAATTACATGACCTTTCTAATTCTCAGATTCTCTCTCTGTAAAATGGAGATTAGCTAGCACTATATACCCCATTAGGCTGTTGTCGGGATTAAATGAGAAGATACATATAAAGCACTTTTAAACACCAGCCTGGAGTACATTGAACTAGAATTCAACAAATGCCAACTTGTTTTTGCAGCAGGACATACTTTCTTTTTTCTACTCCAAAGTGGCACAAGGATGGGGGTGGAAGGCATGGAGAGTAGTAGAAAAGACCCAGGGAGGTCCAGCGGAGGGGCACATGAAAAGACAGAAACAGGGTATGGTGGCTCACACATGTAATCTCAGCACTCTGGGAGTCTAAGGAGGGCAGATCAGTTGAGGTCAGGAGTTCAACACCAGCATGGCCAACATGGTGAAAACCCATCTCTACTAAAAATACAAAAGTTAGCCATGTATGGTGGTGCACACCTGTGATCTCAGCTACTTAGGAGGCTGAGGCAGGAGAATTGCTTGAACCCAGGAGGCAGAGGTTGTAGTGAGCTGAGAGCACGCCACTGCACTCCAGCCTTTGCCACAGAGCAAGACTCCATCTTAAAAAAAAAAAAAAAAAAAAAAAAGAAGAAGAAGAAAAGAGAGAAACAGGACATAAGAGGCTCACTAAACTTTTGAGCTGAAAAAGGAGTTGTTTTTCATTACCTTCTGGGCTTTGTGTACATGTCAAAGGATTTTCTCTTTGGAAATGGACTGTGTCTCCATGCCCTGTGAGATAACAGAGGACAACCATTGGCTTGTCTTGACAAGCATGGATGAAGCACCTCCCTTGACATAACACCAAGTCAGTGCTTAGTAAAGGGTGGTCTGTAACACGGGGCAAGGTTAGTACAGAAATTGAGAGCTGGTGTTTAGAAACTTTGATTGCAATTTGACAAGAGTAGTTTTATGTCTGCTGAATCTAATAATAAATAGGGTTTCAATTGTCTAATTTATCTTTTTCTAAATTAGCTTTTCTCCTCTAGTAATTTGCTTTCATTTTACTTTATAAAACTATAGGTACACAATGGATTGGAAATTTTAAAAATTGGTCTTTCACTACTGATAGTTAGAGAAGCACTACTCTAGGAAATAATCTAAACTTGCCTATTGTACTGAAGAAAGTCATTCTTCCAGTTCTGGAAGCTCTTTAAGGACTCACATTTGTGGAAACTCTTTAGTCTGAGCCTTTGTTCCTAAGAACAGACCAAACTAATAGTTTAAAACTATTCTGGAATCTTTATTTCTTATAATATTTAAGCTTTTGTGAATACAAGGAAGAATTTTGAAAAATTTTCTCAAATGTTGAAAAATAGACAAATATCAAGGAAGGTGAGGCAATTTAAAAAATCCACCTTGCTAAATAAACATATATCTTTATGAGGTAGTTCAGTATGTCTTGATACAGAGGCCTAAGATATATTAGGCAAAAAACAAAACAAACAAACAAAAAAACTAAGTTGTAAAACTGTACTTGTAATATGCTGGACTTTTAAAAAGTTGCTATATGCATTAAAAAAAATCCAAACAAATATACAGTAAATTAACTATCATATCTGACAGTTAGTCTAATGGGCACGATTATGTTTTTGTTATGTACTATTTTGGTTTTGCATTTAAAATTTTTACCATGAGTATATGGTATTTTGTAATAAAAAAGAGGAAACTTACATGTTGAATAATGTACTTTTGTCACTTTTTGGCTTTTAATAAATAATGTAGTTTAATTGGTTTAACACCAATGTGGTTGAGAAATGTTTTTCAAAAGAGACGAAGAAATCCATGCAATAGGATTGCTGAGCTTCCATTTCTTTCTTCCTTTTTTTTTTTCCCCCTCTTGAGACAAGGTCTGGCTCTATTGCCCAGGCTGGAATGCAGTGACACGATCCTGGCTCGCTGCAACCTCCGCCTCCTAGGCTCAAGCCATCCTCACAGCTCAGTCTCCCAAGTAGCTGAGATTACAGGCACACATCACCACAACTGGCTAATATTTGTATTTTCATAGAGATGGGGTTTCACCCTGTTGCCCAGGCTGGTCTTGAACTCTTGAGCTCAAGCAATCCTCCCACCTCGGCCTCCCAAAGTGCTGGGATTACAGGTGTGAGCCACCATGCCTGGCCCTGAGCTTCCATTTCTATACCATCTTTTCCTCTTTGGGAGCCAAGTGATACTTTCCCTTTCAAGGCATACTTGCAATTGTAATCATACCATTTCTGGAACAGAAAAATGTTATTTTATGCAAGATACATGTATGGAAATATTAAGGTCTCCCTATATTTCATTTCCACTCCCTTCTCTGCATTATGTAGGATTAAAGGATGTCAGAGAACTAATTTCTTGAATTTAGAAGACCTGTTTGCCAGTCTGCGAAATGAGTATAAATTACCTGCTACAAATAAACAACATTCCCAAGATGAAAAAACCTAAAAATTCTCATCAGTCATCCTCAGTGAGACAAACTACTGTATTTCATCAATTCTAAGGCAACTTTATTGTAAGACACAGCATTATTTTTTAATGTACTATTAAGAAAAAACTGCCAATTCAAGTAGAATATGCCGTCAATCAAAAGATGAACCCTGTTTTCAAATGTAAATATTTAAAAATGTACAACCTGGAATTAATAAAACATGGTAATACTATAACTAAAAATCCGAAATCTTGCCTAGTATGATTACTCAAAGTAGAACACTGCGACCTGCTTGACATGAAGCCCTGACATAAATGGAAGAATACGTAAACATTTTCAGTAGCACACCTTTCGTTTATTGACCTATGTAAAAAAATAATAGGTCTTGAAAAGTCAGAACAATAAAAGAATATGCAAAAGGGTTATTTCTGTTTCTAGAAGGCTATACAAATATGCAAAAAAGGAATAAGTTATTTTTTTGCTTGTTTTTCCAAAATTTTTCCCCAAACTTCATTTCTAATTATACAAATGACTAAGGACCAGTTTAACAAATCATTTTTATGTATATATTACATGCTTTGGAATATAGATAGAAAATGTTCCAAAAAAGTTGTTCAGAAACTTTTCTATTCACAATATGAACAAGAAACTTGTATAAAAGAGGGGGGAAAGGAGCACCTTTTATGGAATTTTGAAACAAAGATGACAAAAAAGATCAAACTGGAATATGGAAATAATTTGCTTTAAAAAACAAACAAACAAAACCCTACAATAAACCATAGCTAATTAGTTCTTCCCAGGAAAGTATGAGGTAGTTTTAGCCTCATAATTAAATCCACTGCAGCTTGGAGTTTTTTGTCGTTGTTGCTGTTGTTGTTTTTTAACGTTAACCTTGTTTTTGTCACTTGGTGACTTGGAACTACTTGTGGAATCCAGACTTGTTTAATTTTCTAATGTTCACCATTTTAAGGCACGCAATTCATCTAAAATGACGTGGCTTTTTTTTTTTTTCTTCTGTTGTTTTGGATGCCTTCTGTATCATCTTAAAATACTTTTACAAACTGATAATTATAAAAATTTTCCATATTAAGTCTGCCACTTCAAATGACAGCCGAGTTGGAGAATTACCAGCCAGAACAATAGCTCATCATGCAATTAGTGGAGAAAGGAAAAAGGAGCTCAATGATATTGTACCTTAGAACATTCTCCAAGCAGACTCTGTCAATTATTCAGTGGGCTGCTTCATTTTCCCCAATCTGCTACCATAAATTATATTACAGGATGCTATGGTAATAAGTTTTTCCAGAACCCATTTTATGGTACTTATGAAAAACACCACTCTTTATAATATCCTAAAAAACATTTACACTCATTCAGAACTTCATGAAAATCCAGCTTCAAGTAATTCTCCAGTACTGTCTAAATTGTCCATGTCTGTGTAGAAAGAGCATGTTATTCTTTGTCAGCTCGCGAATTCAAACTCTGTGAGGTGAGCAATGACTCCGGAGCTTCTGGTTCCCTTTCTCTCATCCTGCTGAATTGTGCTCTGAGATTTCCCCTGTCTTTATTGCCATGGGACATCCTGAACGCCCTTTCATGGTTTTGAGGTTTGCCTTTAACATCTTTTATTCCCTTAAAAAGTGCTTGCTATTGATGAAGGCTTCACACTGAGTCCTCTCTTGGCAGTACTTCAACACGTGGGCAGACCCTGCAGTTAGGTTAGTGCCTAGAGTTTGAAAGGCCAAATCCTCCTTCAGGGGCTTTGTGGGGCTTCATGTGTGATTCACTGATTCACTTCCAGGGCAACTAAGTCTTCTCTTCAACCTTTGATGTCTTTAGGTTTCTAAAACGAACATCCTCTCGGAAGACGAATACGATTTGCAAGGCACACTAGTGTGAGAACGCAGTGCTTGGTCAAGAGGTCCAACTGCAGTTCAGACTAATGTTCCAGGCTTTGAATCTTCATGCCAAAAGAGTCTCTGCTCACTACTCTCCAGGCTGTCTTCCAGCCGGTTTCCATCTGTACCATCCAGTTGACTGATTTCTGTGTATTGTCTGTTAAAGAAAACCAGAAAAGTTACTACTTGTGGCCATATTTTTGTCCCCACAGCACAAAGACTACTACATTTGAAGAAGTTAGTAGGAAGCACTATTAAGAAAAATTTCCCAAAATGTAGAGATAAGGCAAAGGAGAAGGATGACTGCATGTTCTTTCAGTGTCAAACCGGAGCATTGTTTAACAGGTCCATAAAAAAGATTATTTAATTCTCTGGAAAGACATACCTTTGTTTAACTTGTATTTACCATTAATCAGGACCCAGATTGTATTAAGTTACATGTTAACTTGTAGATTTTTGTCTCAAAGCAATACAAATAACTTGTCTAGTAAAAAAGATTATGGTTACAGTTTTATTGCCCTATAGGACATTAACTGGTTTTTATCTCATTTAGTAGTCTTTTCCAACATTCTCTCTTTCAGTGTCTTGAATTCTCTTTGAACCAGTTTTATCATTCTGCTAGTTCACTTATCAATGAGTTCAATAAATCTTTGGCCCATGCCCATTTTTATTTGTGTGACAGTTATATTTTTAACTTTTTAAAAAGTATATTCTGACAATCACATTTTAAGTATTTTTCAAATTAAGGGAATATGCTAGATGCTTTCCTCAGGGACAAAATAATACATTCAGAAGGTGGCATGGGCACATAGGAACATACATGATATCCCTAGGGCTTACGGGTCAGGCATAATTGGAAGTGACCCAGGAAACAGCATCACATTAAAAAATCATAGGCATATTCAGATGGCAATTCCAAGTGAGAGCATCCTATCATACAAACCATTCTGATAAGCAAAACCGCATTATTGTCACGGTAGGTTAAGAGAGATTAGATGGTTAGTTGATTTCTTTTTTATTTTACATTCCAAAGTATTTTAGTAAAGGTGATTTTTTTTTTAAAGTCTTTGGAAGAAGAGCTTTGGAAATAAAGGTTTTTAGTGTTTTCATGTAACATAAAAAACAAAGGCAGATTTCATAATTTCACACATCAGTCAGTGCAAGCAAAACTCCTGCTATGCAAGAAGCAACACACAGATTAGAGGTACTGTACTTACTACAGCTGGCTACACTTAGCAAAACAGAATTTACAACTGATCTCATTTCTGGAGACACAACCATTCTTGGGGATAGAAGCCCTTGGTTTTGCCTAGTAATAGAGTTAGATAGGAAAGGGGAAAGGGAATGGAAAATAGGAGGTGAAAGAAAAAAAGTTATTTGGAAATACAGTTTGCAGCAGTAGAGCCAAGAATTTCACTGTATTATGTACTAGGTAGCTTCAACATTTCTACTTTGGAAAGTTTATGCTAATGACAATTATGCCAATTGTACTAGAAAAAAAATTTATTGGTAAAAATTAGTACCTTTCTAATTCCCTCTTATTTTAAAAATCATGTTTTCATAAAAACAGTGTACAGAATTTTAGAGCAAATTTCTAAAGCTTTATGAATGATTGTTACTATCCTTGCCTTGTTAATAGGTTAAGTTAAATTGATCAGACTGTATCCTAAAAAGAACCCTAAATAAACAAATGGATGGAAATAAGCACTTCCGTATCTCTGTGGCCATAAGAGCAAAGTGGCAAATCTTTCTGGAAAGCAAGAGCTTTAAAAAATACACTTTTCAATTTAATCCACTAACTCTAGTTATTGGAATGTATCCTATGAAAATAATCTGGGATTCAGACACATATTTTGGACAAAGATGTTAACAGTTGCAATACTGGGCTGGGCACCGTGGTTCACTCCTGTAATCCTAGCACTTTGGGAGGCCGAGGCGGGCAGATCACGAGGTCAGGAGTTCGAGACCAGCCTGGCCAACATGGCAAAACCCCGTCTCTATTAAAAATACAAAAATTAGCCAGACATGGTGGTATGTGCCTGTAATCTCAGCTACTTGGGAGGCTCAGGCAGGAGAATCACTTGAACCTGGGTGGCAGAGGTTGCAGTGAGCTGAGATCACACCACTGTACTCCAACCCGGGCAACACAACAAGGCTCCATCTTGGGAAAGAAAAAAAGTAAAAATAGCTGCCGTACTTCAATAAGAAAAGGAAAAATCTAAAAGCATCTCAAAAAAAAAACTTCAAAAAATGAGGAGCTGCTAAGTAAATTAGGGTTCATTTGAGGGGAATATCATCTTAGTCATATAAAATAAGGTTTAAAGAGTTTTAAAACACATGGGAACATGGTTATGTTATGACGTTAAGTTTTTTAAAACATGGAGATGTAGAATTTCATGTACAACATAAGATATAAAACTGTATGTACAATATCATTCCATGTTACATGGACAGAGAAAAATGGGGAAAATATGCCAAAATGTTAAGAGCTGCTATCTCTGGATGGTGGAATTATGGCTAATTTATTTCCTACTTATTTATCTCTTTATTATAAAATTTCCACCATGAGCTCATATATGCATATGCATACACAAACAAACAATAGGGATTTTTAAATAGCTTCTAATTTCCTGTATGTTATGCCCCCTCTGATCCCCTATCAAGCCATCTTGGGCTGTCTGATACATATGAGCAGACTTTGTAAAAACAGATTTTCTCTAAAAATGCTTAACACTCCCTGAGTCCAATGACAGTAGTGTTAAGGATATTAGAACTGCATAATGCACCAAAAACTGTATTATCATTTCTGAGTCAACAAAAAGACAAGTAAAATTACACAAACATGAAAATAATTTGCAAATATATTATTAAAAAATGGTTAGAACTAAACTGAAAAGGTTTGGCCCAAATTTTAGACCAGTCATGTTGGTTCTTGCTCCTAACTCATTTTCAAACATTATTTACAGAAGTCCAAGCTATGTGACATCTTCTGAAGTATATTTTCATTACAATTCTATTTTGAGTATACCCTTTGTTTAACTGAGACAATTGGCTTAACATTTCAAGCCAAGAAAAACTCCCACTGAATGTGGAGAAAAAAAAAAAATAAGGCATTTGGGCCTGAATATTTCCAATTTGCTTGTAACAGTGAGTGCCTTGATAAGAAACCGCTAAATTCTCAAATTTACCAGCATAGAAACCTTTATAAGTTGTAGTCTGTATAAGTCTACAGTGTAGTCTGTATAAGTCATAAGCAATATGACTTAAAGAAATCAAAATTACACATTCTAAAAAAACAGAAAATGTCCTACTTCTTGGTACCATGGGTGTGGATTATCTTTTGTGGGAAAGTAAAAGGGACAAATGACCTCTTCAAACTTAATTCCTATGGATAACAAGAATTTTTTTAAAAAGTAATTCAGAGTCTGCAATTAAAAAAAAATCAATTTTAACAAATTGCTCTTGTACATTTCCTCTAATGTTTACAAAGAACTACTTTTACAGACAAACAGGACAGCTGGCTGTGTCTGTTGCTTCATAACAAACATAGGATCAGATAAAAAAGGCAGCAAATGTTTGAAATCCAGCCTACCAACTGTCTAAGGAACCTTGGTACGAACAGCCTTTCCTGGAGTAGAGAGATTTTTCCTGCAAGGTTTCAAAAGAGACTTAAATGGACTTATCACTAATAGGATTTCAAGTACCATAATTTTTTTAAAAAGCTTCAGACTCAGAATTCAATGTACACACTAAAGAACAGAACGTGTTAGATGAGGGGTTAGCAAACCTTTTCTTAAAGGCCAGATATTTTTGGCTTTGGTGTCTGTGCAAGTAGTTCTTTGTAAACCTTAGAGGAAATATACAAGAATTCAATGTAATACTGAAGAACAGGGTCAAATTTGAATGAGTTAGATTAGGGGTTAGCAAACTTTTTCTTAAAGGCCAGACACTTTTTGGCTGTGGTGGCCAGATATTTTTGGCTTTGGTGCAGCTACTGAGCTCTGCCCTCATAGTGCAAAAACAGCCATAGAGAACATGTAAGTGAATGAGTGTGGCTATTCTCCAATGAAATGTTATTTACCAAAACAGGTGGCAGCTGGATTTGGCCCACAGGCCATAGTTTGCCAACCCCTGAACTAGATTATCTGACGTTTGTAAATTAGGATCCTTGAATTCTTTTGAACTAGAACAGGCTCCTAGGATTTTCAAGCACCGCCTCCTCACCTGCTTGGAGAGGGTAAAGGATTATAGACATTGCCATAGCAGCTGGTGTAAGAAGAATGTGCTGGAGTCTCATAATCCGACAGCCCTATGGTTAACTGGGTCCTCCAGTTCCCAGAAGCATTTGTAGAAGACACTGGAAATAAAAATGGAAAAAGATAAAATTAATGGAGATATTAAAAGTGAAAAATTGTTAAGGTCATTCAGATGAACACTGCAATCAGCTTTGTCAGAGATTTAAGAGGGTTTGAAGTAACAGAGTTCCTATTCCAATTTAGTGAATTCCTGGCTATGTGACCTTAGGCAAGTAGTTTATCCTCTTTAGGCCTCAGTTTCCTCATGTATAGAGTAGGGATAATAATATTAATATATTCTGTATGGGTATGATGCCAGGATTAAAGTAATTATGAAAATCTTTAGTACTATACTTGATACAGAGTAAGCACTCAGTAAATGATAACTATTAATATTATTATTGAGAATAAGATTAATTGAAAGATAAATTTGTCAATTCGAAAAATAATTTAGGTTGGGGTCAGGCACAGTGGCTCAAGCCTGTAATCCCAGCACTTTGGCAGGCCGAGGCGGGAGGACTACTTGAAGCTAAGAGTTCGAGACCAGCCTGGCCGATATGGTGAAATCCTGTCTCTACCAAAAAATACAAAAATTAGCCAGGCATGGTGGTGCATGGCTATAATCCCAGCGACTCAGGAGACTGAGACAGGAGAATTGCTTGAGCCCGGGAAGTGGAAATTGCAGTGAACCAAGATCACGCCACTGTACTCCAGCCTTGGTGACAGAGTGAGACTCTGTCTCAAAATAAATAAATAAATAAAAATAATAAAAATCATTTTAGGTCAGGCTCAGTGGCAAAAGCCTGTAATCCCAACACTTTGGGAAGTCAAGGTGGGAGGATCGCTTGAGCCCCTGAGTTCAAGGCCAGCCTCAGCAACATGGCAAAACCCCGTCTCTGCAAAAAAATACAAAAATTAGCCTAGCGTGGTGGTGCACACCTGTAGTCCCAGCTACTTGGGTAGCTGACACGGGAGATCACTCAAGCCTGGGAAGTCAAGGCTACAGTGAGCCATGTTTGCACCACTGCACTCCAACCTGGGCCACCAAGCAAGATCCTATCCCCAAAAAGAAAATAATAATAATACATAAATAATTTTTAAAATAACTGGAAAGACAAGCAAGAAAACAATTCTCATATATTGCGAGAATCTTCCCATTCATGCTATGGTGTTATAAAGGTGAGATGATGATTCTGGGTTTGTCAGAGGCCTTGGAGGAAATGTGTTCCATAAGTTGACGTATTGAGACTTGACTATTCTTCAGCCAAAGACAACACTGGCCACTAGCAAGATCGAGGCTATTTTTTGTTTTAAAAAAGTGTGTGTATGGGGCGTGGGGTCAGGGAGGTGAGGTGGTAACTAGAACAGGAAGGAATTCAGGAAGAAGGGATTTAGTTCTACAGAGGAACTGAACTGGAACAAGACAAGGGCATAATTTGGGAGCAAAGCCCAGCAAATGCCTCATCACTGGGTGTTTGTTGTCCTCTCTATAAAACCAGTTCTGCTCCATGCCTAGGATGGACAAGGTAACCACAACGCCATGATGCTCGTCCAAGACTCAGAAATCAGCACTGCTCTTTTCTATCTCTTTTCCATTTCCTGCTTCTGGCTTCAGACCTACTCCTCTTCTCTCTCGTCCCCACAAAGTGCCTGTGATCACTATAGGACAAACACATTTCAAAATTCATCTGTGGCCCTGGATGTCATGAGGTTTTGACTAACTGATGTAACACTCTCAGTTTGAGCTTCCAAGCCATTTCTGAACTGTAAATCAGAGGCTCTGAGCCTTGGTGGTTAAGATGTCAGAGCTAGGGGGCTGGGTGTGATGGCTCACGGTTGTAATCCCAGCACTTTGGGATGCGGAGGTGGAAAGATCACTTGCGGCTAGGGGTTGGAGACCAGCCTGGGAAACAGAGCCCAGTCTCTACAAAAAAAAATAAAATCAGCCAGGCATGGTGGTGCGTACTTGTAGTCCTAGTTACTTGGGAGGCTGAGGCGGGAGGATCTTGAGCCAAGGAGTTTGAGACTGAGTGAGCTATAATGGTGTCACTGCACTCTAACGTGGTTGACAGACTGAGACTCTGCCTCTTTAAAAAAGAAAAGAAAAAAAAAAAAAAAAGCTGAGCTAGGATAGATCCCCACCCCACCACTTAGTAGCTTCTGGGCTTGGGTTATTTAAACTCTGTAGCCAGAGTTGCCTAAGCTGCAAAATTAGGATAGTAACAATAAGCATAACAATAGCAATCACTATATAGAACTGTTGCATACATTAAATAGGAGACTGCATGTAATGTGCTGAATGTGCACGGCATCTAGTAAGCTGCCAACAAATAGTAGTTGTCATTACTAAAACTGAGTCCACCGAGAGAGCCTTCAGGTGGCTGGAAGGGACTACAAACCTAGGACTAATCTAGCAAATAACTGGAAATTTATCTCTTCATGAGAATGATGCCTGCCTGTTGTAATACATTTCTGCAGTTATAAAGTGGAGACAGAAATGAGGGGAATTCCAGAAGGGATTTCTGGGAGTACTGATTCCATCCCTGTAGTTCTTTAAAGAGTGATGCCTTTTGGTCTGTGGGGCCACATCTTGCTACTGTCAGCAAAGCTCACACCAGGTCTGAAACAGGAAGCTTCACTTCCATCTCACCTTTACTAAGCTAACAGTCAGGAATGTTGAGGTTCCTCAGTGACACCTGCTTCCCCTGGGTGCCACCCCAGTCCCGTGCCGCAGTGACCATCCACACGCATCTCAGCCCTCCTTGCTTGGTTTTTCCCTTGTAGTACTCTGCCCATCCTGCCCAGGTTTGACCTATGAAAGTTTCTCACATCTTGAACTTTAAGAGGAAGAAAGGTGTTTTCTAGGTCAGAGCCATAAATAAGAAATAATTACAGAAGCCCTTTCATATGTTAGATGTGGTAATAGATGGGACATCCCTAGTAGAAGTCCAAAGTCCTGCACAAATAGGAGAAAACTTGAACCCAAATAGAAATCTCCATGGAAACGCGTCTTGTCAACAAGTATATGAAACTTTTACAGGTGTAGTTTTCACTTGACTATTATGCAATGACTCAGGAATCCTTATACTATGTCTCACTAAGGTGTCATGCTAATAAGGGAGAAGGCGAGACTCACAACCTATAGGTTTTCTGGCAGTTTGAGACTTTCTCAGAGTTTTAAATCATTTCTCAGAGTTTTAAAATTGCTTAATTTTTAAACATTCTTCTGGCTGCTGACTCTGAGTTCATCGTGACCAGGAACTAGTTCAACACTGGGTCCTCCACATTTTGAATGTGCCTGCTCATTTGCTGAATAAATAAAACCACACACAGAGCCTCCCCTATCTTCTGTTTCTCTACTTAAAGTACCTAGCACAACTGGGAGTAGGCAGGAAGTCCTCCACAAATGTTAGCAGAGTTAGGGGCCAAAGTCAATATCAAGGGTAAAAAGGAAACATCTCTAATCAAAATTATCTTTGAAAATCCCTTAAGTCAACCATAACATAGGTATATATGAATACTGAATTGCAATATGCATGGCCAGGCACTGTGGCTCTTGCATGTAATCCCAACACTTTGGAAGGCCAAGGCAGGAGGCTTGCTTGAGGCCAGGAGTTTGAGACCAGACTGGGCAACATAGCAAGACCCGACCTAAGCCCTGTTTCTACCAAAAAAAAAAGCAAATTACTTAGAACAGGGCTTAATCAATGCCAGGTCCTATCAGGATTCTCATGAGCCTTATGCAGGCATCTGAGCATTCAAAACAGTCCTTAGATGATTGAATCTTGGTGGTGAACAACAATGGATGTATAATTCTAATGTTTTCTGCTTACCTGAGGGTTTATTTTTTAAAAATATCAAACCTCAACGACGTGAACACATTTAAGAGATGTGCCTGTCAATGTAAATCCTAAAAAAATAAAGCAAGTGAAACCCCTAACACATTCCAGCCTGGGCAACAGAGCGAGACTCTGTCTCAAAAAAAAAAAACCAACAACAAAAAAAAACCTAACGCAGGGCAGCACAGAGAGCAAGTGCTCAATCAATATTTGCTGGATTTGAATCTATAGTTTGCTTCATTAGACTCGTGTACCGAGTTCTTTGGAGAGCTGGAAAGAACTGTTTTTAAGTTGGAAATTCTTATTGTGGGGTTCTACCACCGAATGGTTGCCATTCTTTTGACCTTGGGTACTGGTCTCATGATCCATGAAGCGGTTCTGGGTGGGCAGGAAACATGATGTAAATAAAATCCAGGTGTCGTGTGTTTTTACAGTATTCTCACCTGAAGAGTAGGAGGATGCACGACTGCTTGGAGAACAAGGTACTTGCAGCCCCGCAAACCCCAGGCATCTCTGTGATCCCCTGTCTGAGTCAAAGCTGGTCTGCAGGCTGTGCCCCTGATCCTTCTGCCCAGTGGCCCGCTGGTACCAGCCACGCAAGTGCTCGGCGACTAAGGCCTTGTGGATGTTTTTGGTGATGTGCTCCGATTTTGCGGCAGCCTTTCTTGGCAGCCGGAGAGTTGCATATGGGTTATGGGGTACCCGGTCAACCTCGTCTTCGTGAAAGGATCTGCTGTAGTCCCTCTGGCGCTCATATCCATAGTGGGCTGAGGACCGGTAGGAAGGGTTGACACTATACTGTCCCTCGGTGTCATTCTCATAGACATAACTACCACTGTAATAAAAGTCACACTCTGCATAGGGCGTGTACCCGGCAATGTAGTAACTGGAAGACGGTGGCTCCTGACTCTTTGAGTAGACACCATTCCTCAGACTATCCTTTTGTGCTAGGTTGGGCATGCTTCCTGAATTTGAAGTAGAAACATTCTGTTTCTTTGACCTCCTCCGACCCCTGGTGCGAGTGTCCAGGGTCTGGGTGGTGTAATAGGGGCCTGTAACTGGTGTCACACAGTAATACTCTGTGCTTGATTGGCTTGTATAAGAAGACCCGTCATCGAGGATTTCTGTGCTGCTGCTTCTTTGGGATTTGGAGAGGGAGAAAAATGGCTTATCGCTGTCCATCTCGGAGAGCAGGTGGGACTGGGACTCCAGGCTTCCACTCCGCTGGCGGCAGTGCTGAGAGGAAGATTCGGGTCTGAAAGAGGAGAAAGGCAAATTTGTCAACACCAAGAAGAAAAGGAGGACCCAAATAGGAAAAAAGAATACCATGCTGAATGACTGAACAGCTCGTGAATCGCAATAGGACTTTGAAGGTTGCCAAAGCTGACGGCACAACAGAACCCATTTGTTCACCAAATCTATTGGCTCACATGTAAATTCATTACCATAGTCAAAATGAGAAAAGAACCAGGTTCTGTTAGTTCCACAAGCGAAATCCTTCCTTAAGGGTAGGGAAAGACATAGACTGAGGATGCACAGTTTGCATCAGAGCCCGGAAAAAAGCAAAAACAAAAACAAAAAAAACCCAACGTGTCTTTGGAGGGTCCTGTCTTCCTAGAGGATATGAAGACATGGTACATTCAAGTGCAGGTCAGGGGTGTCTGGGCTGAGTCATGGCACTGCTATTTCCCAGCTGTATGAGCTCAGTCCAGATATTTAACCTCTCTGAATCTTGCTTACTCTTTTGTAAGATGACAATGAAAACAATATCTAATATCTACCTCACAAAAGGCTTGCTGTAGGGACTAAATAATCCAGTGCATATAAAACATTTAGCGCAGCACTCACAAACATTTCCAAATGGTGCTATTGTTACTAACTTCATCCTCACCATTGAATAATGAATGGTAATATGTGACTGGGGAAATTAAGGTACTAAAAATCTAATGTATATTTGAACAAGTCAAATACATTTTCTTTGCCAACATATTTGAAACCATAAGTTAGCAGAAAATGTAAAACCATAAAACAAGGTCCTGCTATAGAAAGTCACTTGAAATGATTAAAAAACACAACAAAGCAAGACAGAACCTCAAAGCAAAAATCAACACAGCTAAAGCAATGAGAATGAAGCTCTCTTACTCCAAGTGGCTGCTGCTGTAGGCGTTTCGGGTAAGAACTGGCGTGGTGGGCATGCTTCGTCCGCCCTGGGGCCGCCTCTCCAGAGTTTTGTAAGGGCTGCTGTGTGTCGACAGCATTTCTCTGTGATGAGAAAAAGAATTCAGGAAATGATGAGTCTCTCAACATCTCTGGCAAACTTGTCATAAGCAGATAGGAAACTTACTAGAAGCCCCAGGAAAGGGAAAATAGGGATAAAGATAGGAAGGGCGTCTTTGTGGTTCACTAAACCACCAGGACACTTCCTGGTCTGTTCTAGATGAGTTTTAGGGGAAGCATATATGGTCTGACTTTCTGAGTCACAAATATGTAGGGAAAGAAAGGACTTTTAATAAAGAGTACACTGAATAAAAAGACTCAAAGCAACTAGAGCTGTTTATGTAGGCACCTGAACATTCAAAACAGTCCTTAGATGATCAAATCTTGGTGGTGAACAGGGATGGATGTATAATTCAGTTCACTCCTTTTTTGTAAACAGTCTAGAATACTAAATAGTTATTGGCTTTGTGGGTCAGATGGTGTCTATAGCGACTACTCAACTCTGCCATTGCAGTGCAAAAGCAGCCATGGATAATATGTAAGAGAATGGGTGTGGCCGTGTTCCAAGAAAATGACCTATGGATGCTAAATTTCATATCATTTTTACATGTCATAAAATATTGCTTTTGATCCCCCCACCACCAGCTACCTAAAAATATAAAAACCATTATTAGCTCATGGGCTACACAAAAACAGCAGGACGGATTTGGCCACTGGGCTGTTGTTTGCTGGTCCCTGGACTAAGAGCAACATCCTTAAATCACTATGTCTACTTCCCAGCACAGTGACAACACAATTTGAAGTTAATTTTTTCTTTTTTCTTTTTTTTTTTTTTTGAGATGGAGTCTCGCTCTATCCCCCAGGTTGGAGTGCAGTGGCGCGATCTCAGCTCACCGCAAGCTCTGCCCCCTGGGTTCATGCCATTCTCCTGCCTCAGCCTCCTGAGTAGCTGGGACTATAGGCACCTGCCACCACACTTGGCTAATTTTTTTGTATTTTTAGTTGAGACAGGGATTCACCATGTTAGCCAGGATGGAAGTTAATTTTTTTTAACTAAAAGTAATTTTGATCAAATTTTACTTACTACAAAAGCAAGTCTAAGTTCATTGGAGAAAACTTTAAAAATACAGATAAAAAGAAAAATTTAAATGTCTATAATCTTTTTTTAGATGGAGTCTCACTCTGTCACCCAGACCTGAGGAGAGTGGCGTGATCTTGGCTCACTGCAACCTCCGGCTCCTGGGTTCAAGTGATCCTCCCGCCTCAGCCTCCCAAGTAGCTGGAATTACAGGTGTGCCCCACCATGCCTGGCTAATCTTTTGTTTGTTTGTTTTTGTATTTTTAGTAGAGACGGGGTTTCACCATGTTGGCCAGGCTGTTTTCGAACTCCTGACCTCAAGTAATCTGCACCGCTCAGCCTCCCAAAGTGCTGGGATTACAGGCGCTCTGAGCCACCGCCTATATAATCTGATACCTTATATATAGCCAGTCAACACTAACTGTTTACAGATTATTTTTCCTAAGCACATAAACTTATAAGCATGTATCTATATATAAACATATGTATTTATTTTTTAACAAGAAAACATGAGATTTACTATATATTCTTTTTCAACACTCATTTTTTAAAAAGTTAAGTTGTATCTAACATTTTATGTTGCTTAATATTTGTCTACAGTGTTATTTTAATGACTGCATAGCATTTTATTGTATGGATTTACCATAATTATGTACTTTGTTTTCAATTTGCCATTAGTGTAAGCAAGGTTATAACGAGTATCCTACATGTAGCTAGTTGATTCGGTAGTAAAATTCCTAAATGAAATTGCTGGATCAAAGAGCAAGTCCATCGTAAGTGACTGGAGATGTGGGTACAATAATTTTTAAGACAATGATTCCCAGCTATAATTCTTCCTTTTGCTGAAATAGCTTTGTTTTCCCTAACATAAGCTCACTTGTCTCATGTTATCCAACAGAACTTTCTGCAGTGATGAAAATGTTCTGTGTCTGTTCTGACCAATATGATAGCCACTAGCCACATGTGGTTGCTGAGCATTTGAATTGTGGCTAGCATGACTGAGGAACCAAATTTTAAATTTTATTTACTTTTAATTAAACTGGCTAGCACAGCTGTAGCTCCTTGGATCTCTTACCATTTCAGGCAAAAGTTCCTAAATGCGAATCTACAAACTGGGCTGATATGTGATAAAGTTTTCACTGGCCTTTAACAAATTAGAAATACAACAATGTGGCCAGGTGTGGTGGCTCACACCTGTAATCACAGCACTTTGGGAGGCCGACGTGGGCGGATCACGAGGTCAGGAGATCAAGACCATCCTGGCTAATACAGTGAAACATCGTCTCTACTAAAAATACAAAAAAATCAGCCGGGCATGGTGGCGGGTGCCTGTAGTCCCAGCTACTCGGGAGCCAGAGGCAGGAGAATGGCATGAACCTGGGAGGCGGAGCTTGCAGTGAGCTGAGATCGCACCACTGCACTCCAGCCTGGGTGGCTGAGTGAGACTCCATCTCAAAAAATAAAAAAATAACATAAAATAAAATAAAATAAATAAAATAAAATAAAATAGAAATATAACAATGTGTAGGTTATATTTTCATAAGTCACAATTTATCCAACTTGAATAATCTAATAATCTACCTTGATTTTGAGAATAATTTCCTTTATTTAAATTTTTTTGATTTTTATTTTTGGCCCTTGTAGAGCAAATACTTCCCATCTTTGCTGAGATGCGGTATAACATATTCAGTGAAATCAGATCGCAAGCTTTGGATCCTGCCAAGTTCTAGGCTACCTAGGTTCAAACCTTGATTCCCATGTTTACTAGCTGATGAACCCAAAGAAGTTATTCATGGTCCCTGGCCCTCAGTGTGCTTATCTGTAAAGGGTAATGACAGTAGTAACACTATCAGGGTTGTCATGAAGTTTAAATTCATTAATAAATTACCTAGGAAAAACATAAACAGTATCTGGGACACAGTAACTACTCAGTAGTGGCCAGGCGCAGTGACTTATGCCTGTAATCCTAGCACTTTGCAAGGCCGAAGTGGGCAGATCACCTGAGGTCAGGAGTTCAAGACCATCCTGGCCAACATGATGAAACTCTATCTCTACTAAAAATACAAAAATTAGCCAGGTGTGGTGGCGGGCGTCTGAGTCCCAGCTACTTGGGAGGCTGAGGGGGGAGAATCGCTTGAACCCGAAAGGCAAAGGTTGCAGTGAGCCAAGATGGCGCCACTGCACTCCAGCCTGGGCGACAGAGCGAGACTCTGTCTTGGGGGGGAAAAAAAAAAAGTAAGTGCTCAATAGAAATGTTATATGAAGTTAATATAACATGAAATTAACATTACATTAAGTGAAATGTTAACTTCATTTGATTAGTATTACTACAACAATGATAGTTAATATATTTTTGATATAAAAATGTCATTTATTCCATGGATTCATGGTGCTATTTGTTTGAATGTTTCTTTTGTTTTCTTTTTCTTTTCTTTTCCTTTTTTTTTTTTCTGAGACAGCATCTTGCTCTGTTGCCCAGGCTGGGGTGCAGTGACACGATCATAGTTCACTTCAATCGTGAAATCCTGGGCTCAAGCAATCCTCCTGCCTCAGTCTCCCAAGTAGCTAGGACTAGGTATGCAACACCACATCTGGCTAATTGAAAAAAAAAATTTTGGGCTGGGCACAGTGGCTCATGCCTGTAATCCTAGCACTTTGGGAGACTGAGGTGGTTGGATCACCTGGGGTCAGGAGTTCAAGACCAGCCTGGCCAACAAGGTGAGACTCTGTCTCTACTAAAAATATAAAAATTAGCCAGGTGTGGTGGCACGTGCCTGTAATCCCAGTTACTTGGGAGGCTGAGGTGGGAGAATTGCTTGAACCCAGGAGGCAGAGGTTGCAGTGAGCTGAGATTACACCACTGCACTCCAGCCTGAGTGACACAAAGAGACTCTGTCTATAAAATTTGTAGAGATAGGGCTTCATTAGGTTGCCCAGACTGGTAGTCTCCAACTCTTGAGCTCAAGTGATCCTCCCAACCTTGGCCTCCCAAAGTGCTGGGATTATAGGTATGAGCTGCCACACTCAACCTGTTGGAAAATTTCTTTTTAGGCAAAGCAAACAGCTGGTAACTGTTTGTTTTTTAAGGATTGACCCATACAGCCAAATTCTGGGAACCACTGGCCTGTCATGTTTCTAAAACCTGGTCTCACTGCCCTGATAATGTTTACCTGAGATATCTGGGAAAATGCGTGGATTATGTATTTTACAGATTATGAGTTTAAGTTCCATGTGTATTTGCAGGACTGGAAATCAGTCCTGCTACTTAGTTTGGCAGAGTGGACTTTAGTGACAATTTCCTTAGACCAGTGACTATGAAACTGAACTGTGGACAGTATGTCCAAATCCAGATGATAATTAATGTCCCCATAAGTTAATATAGATCAAATAGACTTTAAAGTCAAGGAAATGGTCAAATGCATTTTAAAAGACTTATTAAAAACATTTTCATTTGCTGTGAACAACAAATAACTGGGTCAGTTTCTATGCCCCAGTTTTATAAGATAACATCTTTTGGAAGGATAAATAAAAACATGTAAAAATGTATCAACCATACATTGCATTTTGGAGGAAAAATTTCCTAGCTGTGAGGCATTAACCTTACTGACGATACGACCTCTCACCTGGACTGCCTGGTATCCACAAACTGTTCATTGATGGACGACTTTCTGAAATGGATTCGCTCAATACCAAGAGACTTGGGGGGAAGAATTCTTGGAGAATGAGGTACTGAACTTGATCGCTGCCCAGCAAGAGTGAAGGCGTCACTGGCTATAATAAGTAAATGGGTGAATGAAAAAATAAGTAGGCCAATTAATAGGTAAATAAATATCTTGCCAACATCTCAAAAAAGAAATTGGAAGATTTAGTGAACAAAATGTTCTTCCAAAGATGATATTTTTAGAAGATCGTAACTTTCAAGAAGTTAATTTTTATATTTTATACACCAGAAAAAATGAAATTACTGAACACTCTTCTGGGACCTGAACCACCTTTTGCCAAATTCAACAGGTGTCACTCTGAGTGAGTAAAGCACTCAAGGGGAATGGGTAATACCGCAGCTTTTAAAAAGCTATGTTAAAGAAAACTTTCAGTGTGAACCAAGGGGAAGTTGGCCTGGATCATTTTTGTTCACCTTTACTTTTAAAGTTTTTAGGCCTCTTTGGCCAAAGGCTTATCCTGTCATTGAAAGTAAGGAAACTGACTTACGCTGCATCATTAGAGGCTTGTTATGTTTCCCACTGATATTTACATTTTCAAAGAGGGATGGCAAGCATGACCAAACATCAGCTCACAGGAAGAATTCTGCAGTGGTGAAATTTTATGCACCATAAAACTTGGGGAAGATAAAGCAGTGTGGGGGTGGTTTCCTGGAATTCAAGTCATACCACAGAGATAGCCAACTCAATCATGATTAAGTACAAGAGATGACAAAGAAATACTCTGTTAGTTGATAGTAAACCCATTCTATAATGAAATGTATTAAACGGCTGGACACGGTGGCTCATGCCTGTAATCCCAGCACTTTGGGAGGCTGAGGCAGGCGGATCACCTGAGGTCAGGAGTTCGAGACTAGCCTGACCAACATGGTGAAACCCCATCTCTACTAAAAATGCAAAAATTAGCCGGGCGTGGTGGCTAATGCCTGTAATCCCAGCTACTAGGGAGGCTGAGGCAGAATTGCTTGAACCTGGGAGGCGGAGGTTGCAGTGAGCTGAGGTCGCACCATTGCACCATTCCAGCCTGGGCAACAAGAGTGAAACTCCGTCTCAAAAAAAAAAAAAAAAAAAAAAAGAAAGAAAAGAAAAGAAATATATTGAACAAATATAGACCATTACGATCAATGCAGCCTGCCCCTATGAAACAACAAAATGACAGGTAGCCCAATGTCTAACTGTGCCTTTTTTCCTAAGTAAAATAAACTTTCCTTTATCTAGAATATGAAAGTTTATTTCATATTGTAAAACATACAGTGATTTCATTTCATATTGTGATGAATACAGTGATAAAGTGTACAATCTAATATCCTGGTTTTGATATGGGACTCCAGATACATAAGATGTCACCACTGGGAAAAGCTGGGTGAAGGAGTCTTTTTATTAATCATGCAGCTCTCCATAAGTCTATGATTACTTCAAAATAAAAAGTTAAGAAACACTTTAGGGAGCCTTAAAGTCCTTACTGAGAGACTTAGATACTCCTGTGAGGGCATTCTGATTTCCTGAGGTCATGTGATTTTTGTGGTCCTGTTATTAATACTGAGTTAACCTGAGTAGGTGTTAATCATATACTTCCTTTCCCAACCATTTTGCATAAATGTAAGTTAGTTTATTCTACTTCTTCTCAAAAGAAAAACAAATAGGCCTTACTTAACTAAGAACATTATCTTAATTATTTCAGAATATCTCACATTGTTAAACCAAAAAAGGAAGAGCCACTTACGATCATCAAAGGTGGTGGTGTCAGACAAAGAGCTACTCTCTGAGGGGATTATGTCTTCTGTGAATAAAAATAACTGCCTTTAGTGCAATTGTGCATTTATACAATTAGAGGGGGCTTAGAGAAACAATTTTCAATGGAGTGCATTTTATTTTCATTTCAATAAATGTAATTAATTACAGTGCATTAAGAATAATTAACTACCGTAGCAAGAATTGACTCACATACTAACAAAAATCAAAATATTTACATATGGTACAAATATTACATTAGATTATTTCTTAAAATGGAACAGACTTCAAGGGAGTGCTGGTTTTAAACTAGTTTTCAGTGTTTCTTCTACACTGGAAGAAAACTTTACCTACATATTTAGTGCTTACGACCAACAAACTGGAAAGAAAAATCATGCCATTCTTATCATAAATGCTAAATGTTAAATAAAACACATCTGAATCCTCATTTGAGAATCTACTCTTAATATAACTTGGCTTTCGACCCCTCCCTGAAAGAAAGGGCTTTTTTTTGTTTGCTTGTTTTTAGGACAGGGTCTCATTCTGTTGCCCAGACTGGAGTGCAATGGTGTGATCATGGCTCACTGCAGCCTCAATCTCCTGCGCTTAAGCAATCCTCCCGCCTCAGCCTTCTGAGTAGCTGAAATTACAGGTACACAGCACCACGCTTGGCTAATTTTTTGGATTTTTAGTAAAGATAGGGTATCACCCTTTGGCCAGGCTGGTCTTGAACTCCTGGGCTCAAGCGATCTGCCTGCCTAGGCCTCCGAAAGTACTGGGATTAAAAGTGTGAATCACTATGACTGGCCAAGTTTTTTCAACAGGTTTCTCAACAGTGGCACTACTGACATTTTGAACTGGATAATCCTCTGTCCTGGGGAACTGTCCTGTGCATTATAGGATTTCCAGCCTCCCTGGTTGAGAACCACTGAATTAGGTTTAAGTCTTGGTTTTGCCATTTATCGACTATGAGACTTCGGGCAAATTAATCTGTATCACCTGGCTCAACCCCACAATGGGGATAACAGCAGTACTTATCACGTAGTGCTGGGGTGAGGCGTTAGAATAACGGATGTAAAGCCCCTAGCCCAGCTCCCAGAATTACATGGCAAATGCTCAGTAAATGTTAGCTAGACTTAAATCTTTAGTTACCTAGACACTGCGTTCTGGTTGGCAATGGCCATAACACTCTGACTATTGCTGGTATCCATCAAATGTTAAAGAACATGGCCGGGTGCGGTGGCTCACGCCTGTAATCTCAGCACTTCGAGAGGCTGAGGTTGGCGGATGACTGGAGGTCAGGAATTTGAGACCAGCCTGGCCAACACGGTGAAACACTGTCTCTACTAAAAATACAAAAATTAGTCAAGCATGGTGGTGCATGCCTGTAACCCCAGCTATTTGGGAGGCTGAGGCAGAAGAACTGCTTGAACCTGGGAGGCAGAGGTTGCAGTGAGCCAAGATCACGCCACTGCACTCCAACCTGGGCAGCAGAGAGAGCTCTGTCTCAAAACAAAACAAAACAAACAAAAAAACCCCCCACAAACATATTCAGTAAAGATAAGTATCTCAGATGCGTTGATCTACATTTGCAAATCATTCCATATTCAGTTGAGTGCTTTGGCACAAAGTTCTAGGCAAATATAATCCTTCAATGTAAATTTCAAAACCATTATGAAGGGAAGCTCTCCAACCAATCTCTAATGTTAAGCTGTATCAGAGACAAGTGAACTCTCTCTATTGGACACACAGTGGAGCTTGAAGGCAAGGTGCCAGTATAGTCAGCTGTCAGGCATACTTTTGCTGTAAAGGAGAACATTTGAATTTTGCACAGTTTGAGGATGAATGGGCCATAGCAAATGGTCATGAAGTTAAGCACAATGCTAATAACCCATATCTGTAGGTCCAGAAATTAACAATCCCCAAGGCCACCTGGATTTCACGTTCAGTCAAAGCTACTCTACATTCTCCAGCTGCAGTGGACTAACACTTGTGTGTTGATGCTGTGCATTCCCTTTCCAAAGGCAACGTCTGCTTTGTAAATCATATGCTCTACACCCAAGTATATTCTAAACTCACTTACCTTATTTCATCAAATCTAAGATATATATTTTAAATACCAGTAAAAAATAAATTAATTGAAAAAGTACTGCCAAGTATGATTGTAACACTCCATCTAGTGTGTTAAGAACTATCCCAAGGCTGGGCGTGGTGGCTCACACCTGCAATCCCAGCACTTTGGGAGGCTGAGGCGGGAGGATTGCTTGAGCTCAGGAGTTTGAGACTAGCCTGGGCAACACAGTGAATCCCCATGTCTACAAAACATTAGTCAGGCATGGTGGTGTGCGCCTATAGTCCCAGCTACTAGGGAGGCTGAGGTAGGAGGATCACCTGAGCCCAGGAAGTTGAGGCTGCAGTGAGGTTTGATGGTAGCACTGCAGTCCAGCTTGGGCCACAGGGAGAGATTCTGTCTCAAAAACAAAAACAAAAACAAAAGCAAACAAACAAAAAAAACAAAACTATCCCAATTTCATAGATGTTAAAATGCAAAGGAAAAAAACTCTTAGAATCAAAAAAATACAATCATATTTCAATCACCAGGCTGAAAACCATGCCAATAAACATGTCAGGTCAATTGGACTTTAAATCTACCTGGGATTTCTCAGTTTACTTTTTTTTCTGAAAATGAAAGTCATAAATACATAATGTTGAGAACTTGGAAAATACAGAAGAATATTAAGAAGAAAATTAAGTTACTTGAAATTTCACAACTATTAGTATTTTGAAATAGTTCTTGGCCAGTCTTTGTGTGTGCATATTTCTATAAAATTGAGATCATGTTGTGGTAACAATTTTATATCGGGCTTTTCTGCATTTCATGTTATATCATGACCATTTGCCTATATCTTTATTTTTTAATTTTGTTTACTTTTTTTTTTTTAAGACAGGGTCTTGCCCTGTCACCCATGCTGGAGTGCAGTGGTGCAGTCATAGCTCATTGCAGCCTCAACTGCCTGGGCTCAAATGATCCTCCCATTTCAGCCTCCCCTGTGGCTGGGACTACAGGTGTGCACCACCACGCCTGGCTAATTTTTAAAATATTTTTTGAAGAGAGAGGGTTTCACCATGCTTCCCAGAGTGGTCTCAAAATCCTTAGCTCAAGTGATCTGCTCGCCTCAGCCTCTCAAAGTGCTGGGATTATAGGTGTGGAGCGCTGTGCCCATTCTGCCCATATCTTTAAATAGCCTTCATAAATTACAGAAATTTTCAATCAAGTTTACATACTTATAAAACTGAAATTCCAAACAATTTTTATCCTAAGAAACTTAGTTTTGTCAGGCACAGTGGCTCATGCCTGTAATCCCAGCACTTTGGGAGGCCAAGGAGGGTGGATCACCTGAGATCAGGAGTTTGAGACCATCCTGATCAAGATGGAGAAACCCTGTCTCTACCGAAAATACAAAATTAGGTGGGTGTGGTGGCGCATGCCTGTAACCCCAGCTACTTGGGAGGCTGAGGCAGGACAATCACTTGAATCCGGGAAGTGGAGGTTGCAGTGAGCCGATATTGCCCCATTGCACTCCAGCATGGGCAACAAGAGTGAAAGTCTGTCTACAAATAAAAAAGAAAACTTAGTTTTGATCATCTGGTTCTTCTTTCTATCTCTCACCAAATTAACTGGTAACTGGTTTGGACATGCTAGGTACCATTAAGTATTAAGTAGGGGACTCAAAAAAAACCTTACTTATTACTAACCTGGTAACACTGCTGCTTTCTGGCTGGGTTTCTTTCCACACCTAATTCGGTATTCGTTTATTGCATTTTCAATCTCCTGAAGCTTTTTCACTGCATCTGTGTAATCTTGCTTTCGCTTTTTCTTCACAGTTTTACAAAGGTCTGGCTCATTGGCAAGTTTCTTTGCAGCTTCCACCAGCTTTTGTTGTATCAGAAAATTACCCTCCAGTTCTTGCAAAGCAGGATCCTGCATTTATACAATGATAGTTTTATTTTTACGGACACATACGACCAACTCTTACATGCATTGTGTAATAAAACTTGCTGTGCACTTTCTTGAATCAGCTGTTCTTTGAGAACACTATCATCCCAAATTTTACTGCATAGACATCCTTGTCAAACACTTTCCTTTACCCGTATTAACTTGAACTTCTCATTAGTCCAAACCTCTTCCCTTTTCAAGGAAGGGAATGGCCTTTCATTCATTCAGTTGGTTGGGAGAAGATCACAGTTTTTATGGATATATTCTTAACTCAAAGCTCATGGATGCAGAAGGTTATATTCATATGCATAGTTTTAGAGAAAGATAAATTTGGGGTTGATCTTCTTCCTGGTAATTCCTGGTTGCATGACCCTGGATACACAGCTTCATCTTTTAATGCTTCAGTTTTTTTCATTTGTAAAATGAAGATAACACCTACCTTATGAAAGTAGGATGAGGATTAAATGAGATAATATATGTGCATTGCTTAGCTCAGAGATGGGTACACAGTAAGCACTCGATAAATAGCAAAGATTTCCAAAAAAGAAAACAGATAATTTTCTAAAGCTAAGATGGTCAAATTTCTACAAGAAACATAGGTATGGTCATATTGGCTGATGACATGCAAATGAGAAAGTATTATACATTCTATATTGGCTAACAAATATTTTAACTTGATTGTAACTCAGTGCTGTGCATGTATTATCTCATTTAATACTCACTGGATGCCTTGGAGGGAAGTCCAATCATTACCCCCATTTTACAGATGAGGAAAACTGAGGCCTGAGAATTGAGACTTTAGAGAGGCTAAACTATTTGCCAAAGGCTATTATTTAGTTTTAAGTAAACGAACCTAATGCTGGAGTTCTTAATTCTTATAATACTGCCTCTCAATTGAGAAACATTTGGAGTTCACTGGATGCTGTCTATAATTTGGGGAGTATAGTGAGAACTCAATTTTGACTGGAGTGGGCATGAAAGAAAGAGTTCAGTTTGGTCTACACGATCCATCTCTGCTGGTGAGATAATATACAGCAGAGACTCAAAAACCAAAGGAAAAAGTCCACTACAGTCAGACAGCTTTCCTGTCTCAGGATTAATTGAAAGGCTCAGAGGCGTTGTTCATACCTCTTCACTCGGCAGCAAGTTGTCATCTAATTTGAAGGCAGTACCCACACGTCTTCTGACCTGAGGAGGCTTCTCGCCTACGTTCAGGGGATACTCCTTTGGCATTTTGCCTGTGAGCTCCTGTAAAACAGGACAGAATCAAGAGCGAATAATTGACACTGGCCAAAGTTGTCAAACACAATTCGATGAGCCCAAAAAAGCAGACTCACAGCCTCCCGCAGACAGATCTTCTTAAGCTCCTCAACTTTTTTCAGAAGTTTTTCTTGTAATAGTTTCTCCTTCTTCTTTAGTTCAAGGATTTTTTCTCTCTTTTGCTCCTCACTAACTTCTGAGTCTTGAGAACCTAGGGAATGAGGGAAGGGCAGGGAAGGTTTATACAAGGGATGTTTCCTTCCTTTCTAAGGGACAAAGGATTTTTAAGCTAAAGCTGCTATTAAATGGTAGTTTATTTCTTTTCTCCTTGTTTCTCAACATAATAAAAGGAAACTAGAAAACATTCTCTCATTCTTCTGGGTATCAAACAGAATCTGGTAAGAAAATGTGCCTTTTTGCATCCTGGCTCAGTCATTTTGGGGGTAACGATAAAATGTTTAATGTCCCAGACACACCCAAGGAAAATTTTCATTTTTCTGAGCAGAAGAGAAGGTAAGACGGTCCTTGAAGAGTTGTTTCGAGTGTTCTTTTAGAAAGTAAGCAAGCAAGGAAAAGAAAAATCTGTGTGAAGGAAGGTCATGCTTCAGATTCACAAGTTGACAGTGAGATTTAGATGGGACGAATCATTTTAGTAAAGTTACATATAGTTAATGATAAGGGATTCCAGAATTTTTACAGAGGAAGGGCTTAGGGGAAGCTATCACATTTGAGGGGTATGCTTGTAATCATGTTTGCGCAGCATTTTATATTGCATGGAGAATTAGACAATTATCTGTATCAAAAACTAAATGCTGGAAAAAGCAGCTGCTGGGGAATATGTTCTTTCAAGCCACACCAAGGTACTCACCATCCTTGTATCTCATATTACGTGCACAACCTATTTATAATTTGACTTTCTACATATTCTTTAAAAACTTAGCCTTAAAATTTTATTCAAAGCTGTTGCATACATATTTATTGACATGCTTATTTATTTACAAAAGAATGGATTAAAAGATGAATTTAGAAGTGGTTTATGATCGAAAAAAGAAACAAAATAAAGATGGCTTGCACATTCTCTAATCCCAAGATGTTACCTGAGGAGATTAAACTGCCATTGCTTGCCATGATGAACTGACTTTTCGCCTCTAGTGTCACCAGCTTGGAGGCCCTTTGTGTTCCTGTCTCTGTCAAATCCATTGCAATCTCGTCTAAACTCCTGGCTGAAGGAATTTTTGCCTAAGAGGTATACAACAATGAAACAGAATTAACTCAAACATACTTCAAATTAATAAAACAATTAAGTTAACATACAATAAAAAAATCAACACAGAGGATAATTTAGAATATTCACATATTCAAGTGGCATTCTTCAGACCAAAAAATAAAACAAAAGTCCACAAGCCTTAAGCTTTGTAGTTAAAATGTTTTAATAACTATACATGATTTTCTCATGGTGTGGTTCAGTTACTAACTTTAAAATGTCACCGGCACCATCACCACTAGCAGTGTCACCAGTACATACAAACATGCATGGCAACAAGCTGGCCAGTCTTACAACTTATAAAGCAGCTTATATATTGCCCATCATTTAAACATATAAAAAATCTGAAATAGTTGGAAGTTAAACATAAAAAAATCTCAGAGAGCAAAAATATATGTGCTTGCATCTTTTGTGAGAAGGCTTATCTTCTAAACAGAATGCAAAACGGGAATCTGTCCCTATAGAAATGATGCCAGTTACTTACTTTGCTTTGTTTCCTGTCCAGGTAAAACTGATGCTGACTAATTGCCATTACCCAAATGGACTTGATGAGAGAAGAGTTAGCATACCATGTTTGCACAAAGAGGCCACTTTGCCCAAAGGTTCTTCTTGAAACTGAAATCCTGAAAGATTAAAGAAAACACTCAAATAATTCCCCTCTGGCCCAGCATGATGCAAAATGTACCCTGCGAGCAGCACTGTAACAAGGCATGTTCCTCTTACTTGTCTTCTGTTGCAAAAACTCTTATGCAAATGGCAACCAAGTTTCTGATTTTCTCCTTTAACAACAAAACAATTCAGACCTAAGTAATCTCTTTCTGGATAAACAACATGTTTAAAAACACATACACATGAACTCAAAAGCTGATAAAGAATCAGTCAAATTAGAGATTATACAAAAACTTTTAGTTAGAAACTCTAAGGATGTATAGCCATCACAAGTGGTAAGGAATAAATGGGATAAGATCTTTTTTATTTTATTTTTTTTTGAGACGGAGTCTCGCTCTGTCGCCCAGGCTGGAGTGCAGTGGCGCGATCTCGGCTCACTGCAAGCTCTGCCTCCCGGATTCACGCCATTCTCCTGCCTCAGCCTCCCGAGTAGCTGGGGCTACAGGCGCCCAACACCACGCCTGGCTAATTTTTTGTATTTTTAGTAGAAACGGGGTTTCACTGTGTTAGCCAGGATGGTCTTGATCTCCTGACCTTGTGATCCACCCGCCTTGGCCTCCCAAAGTGCTGGGATTACAGGCTTGAGCCACCACGCCTGGCCTGGATAAGATTTTAAAGATGCAGCAACCAAGTGTGGGATGAGCACCTAATTCAAGGTAAAAGAGCATTTCAGATCTAGGTAGATTTGGCTGGCTCTGACATTATCAGATAATGCACTTAATGATAATGGCTGAAAATATGCAAGTCCAAAACTGTCCAGAGGGCTGCTTGTACACCAGATGGAAAGAGGAAAGGGGAGGGGGGAGAAGGAGGAGGAGGAGGAGGAGGGAGAGGAGGAGGAGGGAGAGGGGGAGAGGGAAAGGAGGGTAGAAGGGAGGGAGGGGGAGTGAAAGAGAGAGAGAGAGAAAGAGAGAGAGAACAGGCAAGAGGCAGACAGACTGTGTGTGTATGATGCGTTACTAATGTTCTTTTGTAGGAATTTTGCTTATCTCTTCGGGTCACCTTTTTATCACAGGTATTTCCTCCCATCCCTCTGGCCTCTAACCATCCATAACCATCTTGGGACTGAAAAGTTCCCACTAAGGACTGATTAGTAATTTCTCTTAAGGCCAGGTGCCATGGTTCAGCACTTTGGGAGGCCGAGGCTGGTGGATCACCTGAGGTCAGGAGTTCGAGACCAGCCTGGTGAAAGCCTGTCTCTACTAAAAACACAAAAATTAGCTTGGTGTGGTGGTGCATGCCTGTACTCCTAGCTACTTGGGAGGCTGAGGCATGAGCATCACTTGAACCTGGGAGGTGGAGGTTGCAGTGAGTCAAGATTGCACCACTGCACTGCAGTCTGGGTGACAGAGTGAGACTCTGTCTTGGCAGGGGGGTGGGGGAGAAGAATTTCTCCTAAGATATTTGAGAACCAACATCCTGACTTCAGTTAATGTTGATAACTTGGCTTTTTTTTCTTCTTCTTTTTTTTTAAATGACCAAGAACACGAACATTTTAAATGAGCAAAAGATCTGAATAGACATTTCTCTACTAAAGATACATGAATAGCTGAGAAGCACATGAAAAGGTGCTCAGCCATCATTAGTCACGAGGGAAATGCAAATCAAAACCACAAGAAGGTACCACTTCAACCCACTAGGATGGCATAAACTATACATGCACACAAAACTAAAAGTAACAAGTGTCAGTGAGGATGTGTCAGCATTGGAACCACATATACTGCTGCTTGGGATGCAAAATGGTGCAGCACTTTGAAAAGCAGCCTTGCTGTTCATCAAAGGGTTAAAGATAGTTACCATTTGACCCAGCAATTCCACTCCTAGGTATATACCCAAGAGAAATGAAAACATATGTTCATGTAAAAACGTGTACACAAATGTTGATAGCAGCATTATTTGTACAGTAACTGGGTCACACAGAGAAAAAGTCTTTGATCCTCACCTTCGTGGATCATGAACTTCAACAGCAAATTTTTTCTCACGGAAATATAAGTTCTCCAGCTGTTTCCATTGGAATAACTAAAGAAAACAGAAAAGCCAGGCAGGGTTATTTAGTCTTATTTTTACTCAGTCTATAAATCAGCTTAATAATCAAACAATTATAAGTTCCAAGAAGGTACACTGATAAGATGAAGTATGAATATGTGATTCAGCCTTTTTACAAATCAACTATGACCTGAAACCATTTTATTCCTTCTTCTGACAGCAATCTTTAACTATTAAGATTCACCTCGCCAATAAATCTTCCTTGAACAATAAAACCAACCATCTGTGGAAGAATATGCACACTATTTTTCCTCTGACTCAACTATATAATAAGGAAACCTGCACAGATTCCAGTAAGCACCAGCCTTATCAAAGACGTTGATTTCATAGTTAAATGGAAAGATATTCAAAGGGATATTTCAATAACATCAGAGACTGAATTTCAAAAGAATGCAAAGTGAAAGTAAAACGGAACCCCCATGCAGGGGTGATTCTCTGAGATACCAGTTTCCTACCTATGAATAGAGTTCCCCTAAATGCCACGGAAACCTAGCACCAGTAACTGGGGGCAGAGAAGGGGTAGGAGGGAACACCAGAGCCTCTTCTTGGTTTCTGAGCTAGAACCTCCAGTTTTTGAACATAGCTCCCAATGTCTGCACACTCTGATATAGACACTACTGATATTCTATTGCTGTTGTCAGTTTGATTGGGAGAAACAAACTTTACTAGCAACGTGCATTTGAAAACCAAATAATTTGATAGAAAGCGGCTCATTCACAGAATTGAGGACGCCTTGCTGTGTTTTCTGGGCTGCTTCCTAAGCTCTTTATAAGACATTGTACTATCCTGAGCCTTGGTTTGTCCTGTCAACTTAGACTTCATGGTCAAATTCCTCTTCTCTGCCCCCAGACTTGATTAGGGAAATAACAGCACAGAGGTTTCATTATATTATTAGACTTTGGCTGGATTTTAAAATTATGTTCAAAGAATCTTAAAAGATTATTTTTAATAGTCTAAATAATAAGCACTTCTCTGCAATGCACTATCAGCAAAACCATTTCCTGACATACAGGAACCCAGGCTTTTCACAGACATGTAAACCTCATCATGTAAAGGAACAAAATGAGCTGAAGGTTTCTATACATACACTGGCATGGGAAAAAAAGTGTTCAGCCTGGACCCCCCAATTTCAAACAGTGAAATAAACCAGTACACCCTAAAAACAGCCCTCCGTGGTCCGCACACATAGCTGTCTATAACCACAACACTCACTCAGGTTCAAAGAGGAATTAATAAAAGTATAAAGCTACATACCCATTTCTTAAAATCTCCACAAACTTGAGGTTTTCATTTCTTTAAATCCAGAGGTTCCAAAAATAGGACAGAAATGTGAGGGAAAACCTCAGGGTTCTTCCAACCTCCCCCTCCCAGAAAGCTCCGGTGAGCTCTGAACTGAGTTTCATAAGACACTTAGGTGTAACTCAATTTCACAAACTGAGCCTCCCACGGCTGACACACTACTGACATCAGCAACTCTACCGAGTGACACCTCCCTAATTCTACTCTTTCCTCCCATCAGGGAGAGGAGGGCAAAGTTCTCAGTGGCAGATTTTCCCAGAGAAGAGAGCTTTCTAAAATGGGGGGCAGTTGGGATTTGCCCGATACTTCCTGGGAAGTAAGTTGCTTTGAATCCAAGGACGAATTTCACCGGAGGCTGTTTTAGGAAGACATTTCTACCCTAGTTTACTCACCCTGGACATGAACAGGTTCTACAGGAAGAGTTACAATGCAGCTCAGCTGTGTTTTCCTTTGTGTCCATTCCCACACACATAAAAACCAGAGCTGGACTTGAAACATGATCTCTGAAAGTCACCACCTCCCCCTCTTATCACTTACAAATGTGAAACCCTAGTGCTTTGGACTCCATTCAGCCAGTCCCTGCATTGAAAGCAAATATGCTCCCTGCAAGCAAAAACTCTACTTAAAAGGTGAAGGACTTCGGCTTAGAGAATTTGAAATTAGATTGCAACTGGATTTGCACAAGGTTATGGGAACAAGAGTGGGTTTTAAGTATGAAAGGCAGAGAGCAGTTCATTTCCCCGCCTGAAATCTTAAAAGTTTGTGCAAAGTATGATTTCATGTATGTGCATATAATAGTATAAATGTGGATTGGAATGATACAAAATTCCGTGATTGCTTCTGTGGGCAGATGGTATGAAGGGTACGTTGTATAGAAACTTCAATATCACTAGTAATGTTTTCTTTTATTAATAAAAATAGGATGAAGTAAATATGACAAAATATTAGTAACATCTATTTAAGTGGTTGTACAGGTATTGTCATATTTTTAGGACTCTTGGAATTTCTCAAAATTAAAATAATAAAAGTTTATATATATAAAATGAATATAGGTTGGTCTATTTTATACAAGAGTGAGATTTTCACCATCTAATGAGTTGTAAGGTCCCTGTTTTAAACATTAAATATTATTACCATTTTAATTCTTTTCAATGTTTGAAGTTGCTAGGAAAATATTTCTCATTGTAGTGGTACTTGATCTAGCTGGCAGCTGGATATAAGCTGGCTTTTCTTTTGAAATTGCTGAAATCATTCTCCTATTGTGTTTTTTATTTCTGGACTCTTCATATCCAAGGGCCAGGATGCAGCTCTAAAAATGGCAATGGAGCTGAGGTGAATTCATTTGCTGAAAGATTGCTCATGCACCTTGCCTCAGACAGCACCTGGCACAGGGCAGGCAGTTGAACGGTGTTCATTCTCCTCCCTTTCTCCAGTGTTTATCTTAGAAGATAAATAAAAGGCACCCTCTGGTCAAAATCATGATAGGGGCCGGGCGCGGTGGTTTGGTCAGGTGCAGTAGCTCATGCCTATAATCCCAGCACTTTGGGAAGCCGAGGTGGCTGGATCACTTGAGGTCAGGAGTTCGGGACCAGCCTGACCAACATGGTGAAACCCCATGTCTACCAAAAATACAAAAACTAGCCGGGTATGGTGCGAGAGCCTATAATCCCAGTTATTTGAGAGGCTGACTCAGGAGAATCACTTGAACCAGATAGGCGGAGGTTGCAGTGAGCTGAGATTGCACCATTGCACTTCAACCCGGGCAATGAGAGCGAAAACCCATCTCAACAACAAGAAAAAGGCATGAGGGGATTTCAGACTAACGATCTGTATTTGAGGAAAGAGATCAAAGTTTAAAGGAAGATACAAGGAAGCTAAGTATGCTTCCCATTTTCTATTATTTGGACAATATTGGTGTCCATAGAGGGTAGGACTATTACATATATGTATATGTGTGTGTATATATATAAAATACACACATGTGTATGTACAAATACACTTGCAGTTTTCATATTAAAACAGAAAAATGTATTTTGCCCAAACCAAAATTTTCACTCTTGGAAATTAAAAAAAAAAAAAAGAGGAGCTTTATTTGTCCTGCAATACAATTAAGAGTATGGAACTAGAATGTTTTCTACAGTGATCATTATATAAGCATAATAATCATTAATGAGTATTTATTATTGTCTATGTGGCACCTGCTAGTAGCTAAGAGTTTGAACACTATGTTGTTTTTAGATAAAATATATCGGCCGGGCGCGGTGGCTCAAGCCTGTAATCCCAGCACTTTCGGAGGCCGAGGCGGGCGGATCACAAGGTCAGGAGATCGAGACCATCCTGGCT